CCCTTTTACTGAATCTAGTAAATTAGTCATTTTTCAATTTCACTTTTATTTCAATCCTTGTATTTTATATATTTCCTCTTCAGTGCTTTTTTAACAACTTGTGTTTGGATTGATAAACAGAAATTTCTCCACAACCACTGACTACATGAAAAATTCAAGGATTATTTAAAGGTCTGGTGATCACATACAAAATGTAATTCTGGTTATTTATTTCTTTGATTCTATCATGTACAGTTTCCCAGAATTGTCACTGTACATTCAAAAAGCAGTGAATCTAACACATTTGATTTAGTGTACACTCCCCTTTACTCATAGTGTGCATTTTTTGGGTCATTCGAATTTTCCCTCTTCTGTGATTGCTGTAGTTTTTTTTCTTTTCTCTTCCCACCCCCTTTTCTCATAGAAAGTAGCTAATCCACTGTAATCTTACACCTTTTAGAAAACCAGGATAGAGTATCCATTAGAGTTTTACATTGTTGATGACGAATTAATAAAGTGATGTTGTGGTGGAGGTAGAGTGAATGTTTTTTGGATTCAATTTTCTCCTTTACAAGACGTAAATTAAAAGTCGTTTACGTGGCATTCTAGGACATGCACACTGGCCAAAAGTGGGAACCACCAACATCTTTTATTTAGTCTGTGAAGACCTTTGCTTTTTGCACAGTTTTGGTGAGGTTCCTCCCCTCACCCCCGTGATACATCATTAGGGAAGTCATGATCAAGGTTTATTTGGACTGGCTGTATAAGCTGAATTGTTGATCCACAAGAAAAATCCAAGCTTGAATGAGATCTTTAAAATCATATATGAATTCAGAGTGGAACACAATTCCTGCCTTTTACAGATCAGGTCAGTGGCTGTTTTTAGTTGCCTGGCTTTACAGATAAACTTTCAAAGTATTAAGGGGGGGAAAAATTCCATTTAGTTCTGGGCCTTACCTGTGTTCAGATTGCCACATTATCCTATAGTCTCTAAAGACCCATGAGAAAATGCTTTTCAGTATCTGTGCTTTCCTAATACTTTAACGAGTATTGCAAGAAAGCTGGTATTTTTTAAAACCCTGTGCTATAACAAGTTAAGGAAACTAGCATGTTAAATTTTATTTTCTTCATTTCAATTTTATTTTCACAAAACAACTTACCTGGAATAACAATGCCATATTGTCTTTTGCATGCTGCTTTATTTCCTTTAGGCTGTAGGAGCTATTGCATCTATCACTGTTTCACCTCGGCTCTGGAGATGGAAGCCAGTAATAATTGTCACAGGGAAACTTTTCATCACAGTGATAAAACTGTTTGTGCTCGCTTGTCCCTAGCGTACAGTTACTGCTTCCTTTATGGCAAAAGAAATAGGGGGATTTTATTGCTAGTGTCAGGCTTCAGGGGTACCTGGCACCTTCTCCAAGCAAACAGAAAACAGCTTTATTTAAATATGTGCCTCTGGTAAATTATGCATCGCTTTTATTTAAAAGTGGTCCCTTAGAGAGCAGTGTGGTCTATGCAGTAGGTGTTCCATTGTAGAGCAGATAGGAGTAACTGAAGACTTAACATGCACTGTGGGTGAGCTCTGTGTAACTTGGTTTCCTTTGGGATGTCATGCTGCAAGTCGTTTCTCCATTTTGGACTATTATAATTACGAGAACTCTTCAGAGTATTTAACTAGAGATAAAATGTCCTGGTGATACATACAATTGTGAGGACAGAGCTATAGTTGGGGAACATTTTAGTGTGCTACAGTTAGGAAGTGTTAGACACACGAAATACCTGTGGAAAGCCAGGGATCTTCTATCTTTCCTCTCCTCCCACTCCCTGTCTAAGATTTGGGGGTACAGAATAGCCTTCAAAAAACCTCTTCTATTGAAAGTACCCTTGGGGGTGGTGTTTCTTTTCAGTGTTTGTCATTGCTAGACTTTCTGAATTTTTATTAATCTGCAAAGCTCTGGTGGCGTTGAAGTTTCTGGAGCTGTCTGCATTTCTTGTTCAGTCTGTTAATTTGTTTTTCAGTGTCAGGTCACGAGCTCTTAGTATGTTAGATAATAGAATTCTTTTGTGTCTTAATGTGGTCAGTTGTTTTATGTGAGATTTCTACGTGACAATAATTAGGCTCTTGATCTCCTTCCTTAAGTTGCTTTCTTTGAGCCCAGACCCTAGGTTTGGGGCTTCAGTTTGTAATACAAAGAAATACTTTATAATTTCTGCCCTTAACACTCCCCTTTCTTATCTAATTTTCTTAAGTGTCCAATGTTCAGTGTTATCTCTCACTTTTGTTTTAGATTGTGGTGGTTCTGATGTTTGAAATTTAAGGAGAGAGCCATTATAATAATACTGAGCAGGGAAATGCCAAGTACAGCCAAATATTAGCGTTGACGTGCAATCTTAGGTCCTTTTTAATCTGGGGTATTATAGGCAGTACTTCAAATGGAACAGTCTTCCTGGCCTATTTTCCTCCACATTGTTATAATTACTCTGGGTGCTGCACTTGTTTTGGTAGTTCTAAAATCAAAGGAGCTGGTACCTCTTCTTTTCTCATAGTTCTGTTGATATTGAAGCACCCGTAACTTAGCCTATTAGTTCTCTGTACGTACCTCAAAAATCAGTGAAATGTTTTACTCTTGACATCTTTAAGTTACTAATATAGGTACCTAAGGGAGGCAATTTTGTTTTCATTATTTGGATTGTGTTAGGAAGATTCCTCCATTGGGGGGAAAAAAAAAGAGGTAGCTAAATCTAAACTAGCTAAAATCAATGTTTTCCTAACACTGGGGAGGGGAAATGCAGTGTTAAACTTTTAAGGGTCTGTTCCAGTTTCCTCCTCCCCCCTTCTTTTTTGGCCTGGGTAGCAGTGTCACACTATTCCATATTTACAAAAGGGCATGTTGATTCTGAGAGAAGCTTTACAGGCCCAAGGGTTAGTTGTACAGCATGAACCACTTAATCTCCATGGGAATCTGGCTACACTTAATAGGGAAAAACGGTTGTGCTAATTAATATACAGTGATCATAAAAATAGCTTGAATCTTTAAAAGATGGTAAATTTGAGGAATTGCATGTTCTGAAATGCAGATTTATAGCAATTTCAATTAAAATAGGCTGATTAAAGGTACTGTTTTGATGTATTTTTTTTCTGACAATATCAGCTCCTATGTAAGTCTTGTGTCCATTATTTTTAAATTTCCCTTATAAATTTCCACCTGTAATGTCAGTGGCAGTCACATCATACTTTTTTTTACCCTTATTTTAAAAACAAATTGAATGAAATCTTCCTTCTCCTAGTAACATTGTATATGTTAAAAAGAGAAAAAAAAGGCTTCTCTGTACAAAAGGTTGTAATGCTTCCTGATGGTTATAATTTCATGATTGTATTTAAGATAAAAAGTTGAATAAATCACTCACACCAGCTTCCTGAGAATGTTTATAATGCATCTTTTGGGGGTGGGGGGAAACACTTGCATATTTGCATTGACATGGCAAAGATTGTATGAAATACCTGTTCAAAAAAATAAAGGTTTGGTCTCAAAAGGTCGCATTTAAGCTCTGAATTTATTGGTCAAAGAAGACTCCACAAGAATTTGGAACATGAGTTGCTTTTTCCCCCCTCTTCAAAGCACTAATATGTTTAATAATAACCAACATTCATAAAACAGTTGTGTTCCTTTTACCACAAAAAAATCTATTATTTTAATAGCAATAATTATTTTCCAATGGGAAAGGCCCATTAAAGATCTGTGTGTTGTTAAGAAGTATTTGCCAAAATTGATTAAGCTTCATTTTGGCAAGTACTTAGCATCAATACAGACCATTACAAGCATTAAAAATGTATATTCTCTTAGGTGGAAAGTTCTGAAGGATAATGGCGTTAAAATGTACATACATGTCCAGCTTGCTTTCCTATTTTGACGTTTGCATTTGTTGGTGATAGTGACCGTGGCCCAGTTTGCCTCACTGGTGTTTTCATGTTACTGTAACACTGAAAGCTGTGCCACTGGTCATTTTGAATGCTAGCTGTGGAGTTACACAGTAACCAAACTGGGGCTCGCTAGTTTGTCCTGTAGGGAGTCTTCAGACATTGCTTTCTTTTTGGTAAAGAAAATAAGTGAAAGCAGTAAATTTGTAACAACCTAAGTTGGTGCTGGTACCTAGCTGACTCTCCAGTGGATTTTCATGGCGAGGAGGTTGTTCTCCTCCCTCTTTTGAAGTCACTGGTGGATTGGAACAGCCAGAAAACACTGCCTTGAGCAGTGCAGCTCTAAGGACGATGCCACTACACTTGAAACGCCTAAGGGTCATAACAATTTTGTCAGTGACTGTGCTGGGAGACCCTTAGTTGGA